AGCGACGATAACAACATACGCTAAAAACGCAAAGGCTCGTGGGTAGACGCTTCTTTGTAAACAATGAGACGCTATGGCCATCTGACGCATGCGCAGGTGAGGGCGCCCCCGCGTTAATTAAAACTCGTTGGCTTAATAACAAACCGGCGCCATCACATTAAACTGTTACCAATTGTTTCACGAAATAGACGGTACTGCGGGCAGAACAAATAACGATAACGATTCAATTTAGTTTCCCATATTGTGATGATTGCTTGTACCGACAAAATCAGTATAGGTGGCAGTCAGATGTGAATTGTCATTGGATCATTGCGAGTTTGTTGAGCAATGACGTGACATGGTTCTGATCTAAGCAATTTTTCTTTTAATGTGTTTACAGACTTCAAGGAAGGACTAGGCAACACGCAGCAGGTCGAGTTTCTCCAGGACCAAGCACAGCTGATCCTCGCACAGTACGTGAACAGCAAAACTCCACAGAATCCCGCGAGATTTGGAAAACTTTTGTTGACGTTGGCATCTCTTAGGACATATAAATCCGAAATCATTGAAGAATTATTCTTCCGCAAAACCATCGGTAAAGTTCCTATAGAAGCTATATTTGGAAGTGTATGAAAAGTGGGTGTCGTTGAGGGCGATTGGTGGCGATTTTCGAAACTACATTATGAATCTGTACATACATATGAGTGACAGCGAAACGTGATTACAGACATTATACTCAGCGTGGTCAGCGTGAAGCGCCCCTTACGGTATGGCAACCAGCAACTAATACACTGCTTTCGTTTGTTAACTGTGTACAGTAAATGCAACTGCCTGTCTATCGATTTGAAGTTTTGTTTCTTAGAGGCGACCAGTTGGCTACCACTGAAAGATACTTAAAAGATCGACTCAATAGTCGGGTTTTTAATTATTATTTATTGAGAAAATATTTAAAAGTAAAAAAAAAATGTATATTTAAACTAGAATATATTACATGATAAGTAAAGTTCATATGTGACAAATGTGTGGCTTGTTCATAATATCGCCATTGGAACGGCAATCATGATAATATTGACTAGTTTATTAGAAC